TTGATTTGTTAACCTTTCATTTAATTATTTACATTTAGTATAAAAAAATAAATATATTACAACTATTTTTATGACAAGATTTTCATCAGATCTTTGTATATCCTACTACATAAATGCCATTTTACATTTTTTTTTTTTAGTCCAACCAAACGCCTTTCCTTTTAGTAAAAAATTATTAAGTGGTCCAGTAAGGTCGACCTATGTTTAAGATCCTACTGCGTAATTGGCTAGACCCAAAAATATTTTACGCTATCCTGGAAAAAATTAGATACATTTATTTATCTTTATTTAACTTGCTAGGACGACTTGATCAAAGCTGCGTGTTGCTCCCGCCCGTGTGGCCAGGGACAGAGCGTGAAAACAAGCTTCAAAAATGCACCCCAGTCCATCCTTCTGCGGGCCCGCGGCGGGTGATTTTGCAGACGCGCCTTATCTGCGTGAAAACACACTCCGTGTGGCATACCTCATTACATTTAATGCTGCCCATATTTCTCGCGTTTTTTCACGCTGCGTTCTTGCGTGAAAAAACGCCCGTGTGGCCGTAGCCTAATAGGAGGTTTTAACAGCAAAGAAATAAATAAATTGGTCTCGAAATCTGATACTGTATGTATTTGAACAATATTTTTTCATATGTGAAAACTTATGAAAACATATTATTTCTATGACTGTCAAACCAAATCTGTCAAACCAAATTTCCCCAAATAAAAAAAAAATTTGATAACCATGATTATGATTTTTTTGTCAGCTCACTGCTTTTAGTTTCCTTAGCATTATCAAAGCATTTGATGTGGAAATCTTGTATGTAGTTTTTTTATAATGAAACGTTTAGTTACATTTAAAAGCTGAAGGTAGGTTATCGATTAGGTTTTAGTGTTTTTTTTTTCAACAGAAAAGATAATTATAAATTTAAATAATGCCTTGAAAATATTCAAAAAACCTTTGTTATACTACTCTTTGTTTAAAATTGCACATACAACTTTTATTTATGTGATGAGATTACTTGAAGTTTTCTCATGATTGTGAGAATGACTGTAAAGCTAATGATTTATTAGTAATAAATAATGAAAAGTGTGAAGATAAAAGATTGTTGTGTAACATATCTCTTAAAATCATTCCCGATTTCACATTAAAATATAATTTTATATAAAGAACACTAATTTTCATATAAAGTGTATATCACATGTATATTGTAAATAGCTTTGTTTTAAAGAATGCATTGAATGTAAAACGGTTCCTTCTTGTTTTTGAAACAACTTAAATTTTATATTTTGTACCATAAACCTATTTTTATATTTCTATTTTAATTTTATAGGTTTGTTCAGCAAGAAAAAGAGCTTTAGTTTTACTATATTTTCCACTCTAAAAGGGTGTCTCAGTCCCAAAAGTTTCATTTTTAAATCTTTGCAAGTCCATTTACAAATTGCTGTTAGTGGGAGGTAATTGCTTTTAAACACATGTAATACAGTACTTGGAAAAGAAAATTACAATTTTTTAAATGAATTACGTTTTGACACAAAAACAGTGTGTTTCTAAAAAAAAACATACAAGTTTGAATTTTGTTGTGATGGTAAACTTTTTAAAACCTTAATTTAAGTACAGTGCTTGTCAATGCAAACAAACTAATCAACTATCTGTTCTAGATTGTGAACGTTAAATGGACACAGTTCATCAATTCACTTCTACTTTAGTCCGTACAATCAAGTGAGTGCTTAAGTTTCATTTTCCAATTACACAACATAATATTCCACTGATTTTTCTATGACATTTTTGGGACTTTATGGATAAGTTTTATTCCATTTGTATTGTGTATATGTATTGATCCAGTGATAAACTAGTGATAAAAACTGAAAAAATATTGAATGAACATAAAAAAGAAGAGTGATGTCTGTGTGATGTGTTAATTGTAAAATTGAATGTCTTGAATGCCTTTTGTTATAACACGGTACAAACACTTATTGTTCTTCAGTTTAGTAAACAAATTAATTAAAACACATTCTTTTATTACTTTTAAGTGAGTTTGTATTAAATAGTGTAAAAAATGAAACAAGTATTTTTAAAACTGCCATTATTAGCTGCCAGTAATGTTTTAAAATTTTCTCACTCAATTTTGTGATTTGTATTAGGTGTATATTTAATTAATTACATAGTATTTTAATTTAGGTTGGAGATTTTTTTACTAAATAAAAGTTTAAAAATCTTAAGAAGCAACATTTGTCACTAAATTGAAATAACATTACGCTTTAGTTATAGGAGAATTTAAATGCCAACTATCTTTTTTTCTTTTCTTGTTCTAATTATTATCATGAATCCATTTTTGGTCATGGTTACTAGTTATAAAATGTTATTTAATGCTTTTATGAATTTAGCAAGGACAAAGGTTTGACTGACATTATATATTCTGATAAATGCAACTAAGAAACCGTTATTAAATTGAGTACGTATCTATGTCCTTGAAGTCCAACACACCAAATTACATGCCAACACTATTAACACATTTTTTTAGGTAATCAGTGTATAAATCTAACTGTTGGATCATTTTGTTAGTACAATTAATATGAACAAATATTTAAATTTTCTACCATTATGTATTTTTAGCATAAAACCTGCATGAATACAAATATTATTTACACCACAAAAAGCTAACTTTAGGTTTCGAAATTCGATATTAGTTTAATTTGCTTTTCTTATGAAATTCTAATTGTCACTTAAAGTATTTTTTAGCTTAAAAGAATTGTTAACAAAAATGTTATTTGAACTTTTTAGTAACTTTTTTCTCTGCAGTTTTAAAGTGTTTTGTTTAGGTTGTGGTTTTAATGATTAATCTGAGCACTTAATATTGTTTTCAGAGTGGAATTATTTAAGCTTTTAAACTCACAAAATAGTTTATTTCATACTATACACTTTGTGTAAATATTAATTTTTATCAGTCTTAAAAGCTTTATTTTATTTTGATAAACCAAGTAATATTTTTTAAATTTATACTTTACCCAACTCGGGTATAAAAATTTGTGATGAAAAGCTTTGTTAAGTGATATTAAAGAGTGCGTAGCACTTTTAATTGAAATGCATTATCCTTTGGTTGTAAACCTACCTAAATGTCTTATCTGTCGATTCTCGAAGCTAAATAGCTAATTTTGTTTTTACTTTAGTAGTTATGCTTCAGTTGAGAATGGGTGTTTTGTTAATAGTATGACAACAAAACTTTGAGAATTGTTAGACTTTTGTACTTTTATAGGTGTGACTGCTTTAACCTCATTAAAACCAAAATGTTTATTTTGCAAAATATTATTTTACACTATAATAATCTAAATTTAAGATAAACAAAATGTTGGAGACATTCTTCAAGCAACATGTTGTAAGTTGTTTGGACTTGATTTATAATGTTGGTAAGTTTAAGATGTGGTCTTGGGTTTACTTAGCACATGTACTCTCAAGCAAAATCTTTTTATTTGATATTGATCTCACTCAAAATACATGGAATTGTACAGTATTAATTATGTTGTACTAGTTTTTACTGACTGTTTGAAATATTCTTTGTTGTTATCAAGAAGTGCTTTCATAGTGTTTCCAAAAATCCAAAGTAACATTATTCATAATTTTATGTTGGTTTATCTCAAAATAGTCAAAATCATTATGGCAATAGTAATTCATTATACACATTGTTTTCAAAATACTCATTTTTGATAAAAATATAACTATCTTTTTTATTGTAAAGAACAACTTTGCTTTATGATAACTTGACATAGGTACCTTATCCAAATATTTCCGACAATCCATATGAAATTTTAATGTGTTTTATCCAAATTTACAATCATATATAGTACTTGGATTTATATCTTTTTCTATTAATATTAAAAACTGATCTCAATACTTACTTATGTATCTAAGTTGCTATATTTATTATCTTAACTATTTTAAAGCTTGTAGGAATAATAAGGCCATGACCAGAGCGCTTTGAATCGTTTGCACAATTTTAACTATCAAATATAATAGTCGCAACAAAGGTTAGTTCCTAACAACATTCCATTTTATTCGTTTTGGAAAGTCCAAGTAGATCTAGGCTAGTACAAACATTACCGATAATATTGTTTTTGGTCAATTATTAGGTAACGAAATGTTAACATAAGTAGATTACGCTGCCTGTATATATTGCACTCTTGCTGGTTCGTAGTTTTGTACAGTTTATATTCTGACTTGGTGGCAAGTACAATCTTACGACCAAACTATTGAAACTGTTTATAATAAATCTTGTATTCTCAATAGATTTTCTTGATTTAATTCCCTATTTTTCTCTTTAAATATACAAATGTCTGTACAATTTATCACATACTTATCCGGTAAACACCTATTTTCCTAAGTACCGGTAACGTAATATACATTTTCCAACAGTTACCTGACAAAGTGGGCTTCCTTGCACTATGATTATAGCATGCAATTGCTATTTTCTCATTAATTCTGCCACACTAATTTTTACCGCACTTCAGTGTTACAACCAAACAACACAAAACAGAGGGGGGGGGGGTTTATTAGGCACGAAATATTTGTGTACGCTTGGAAATAAGTTGACTACACTTAAAGATACTACAACTACGATCAGCTGGTGCAGCGTTTCCTATTTTGTTCAACACTTGGATTTAACCTAACCTAAAAACGTGTTGTATAGTGTTTGAAAAACTAATTATTTATATGCTTTATACAGTAGTAACTGTAAGAAAAATATAATGTGTAACACAAGTGCAAAGTGCCACTTTACACAATAGTTACACAAATAACGATTTCCTCTACAATGTTTATGTTATTGCTGATTGCAAAAGTCCAAAATGAATTATATGAATCTTATGTTTGTGTCAATAATCAATGGAAATGTAGAATGTATGTTTTTGTTTTTTAACAGTACACAATAGCTTTTTCTCATAGGTAAATGACTATTTATCAACGAAAAAACTTATATTAATAGTGGATATGGTAAACTGAGAAATACTGTTAATAAATATAAATTTATTAAAAAGTTCACAGTAAGACATGTATACATTCTGACAAACATATCTAAATTAATTGGATTGGCACAGGCATCACTTTATTTTATTACTTTATTTATTTGTTGGACTGATTAAGGTATGTAACCTTAATTACTTTGTTTTATCTGATTGTCAGGATAAAAATTGCTTATGATTTTACCTTTTTAAGACTTTGTCTCATGAATATTGCCAAGCAAAAACATGAATCCAAAAACCAAACCAATTGACCTAATGAGTTTTCCATATTATTTTTAAATACAATATAACAACTTAATGTATCACTATAATTTAATATTCACCTTAATTAATTGGTAAACTATCGTTCAATATCACAAAAAATATCCTTTCATGATTGTCTTAATCTAGTTTTCTTTTAAAGGAGATCAAATCTCGCAAGATTTAAGTTGGTACAGTTTAATAATGATTATTTAATCCAACAGGGGAAGTGTGAATCGTAGGCCTAATATGAAGAGTGGATATTTTTTTTAACGTGCTTAATATTTAAGTGTTCATTATACTACTCAGGTTTATGGCTCTGCTGTAAGAAAAATCTAGCTTTTTGAAGATTCACAACTGTACTCGGCTACCCTCAATCAATTTTAAGCCTCTATCAATGATCATGACTGAGAAATCGAGTTTGTAAGAAAGCTACCAAAATGTTTACACCAATCATGTGTTAATATTCTCTTAAAAATAATGAAATTGAAAATGGCATTAAAAGAAAAAGTAGAAGAAAAATTTTACGTGAGATTTTTCAAACACAAGTTTATTGAGACTCGTACTTTTCTATCTGCTTCACATTCGCCTTTACGGGTTGGCAAACCAGCATGATCAGACCACGGAAACAGGGATCTATGGGGTAAAAGTTTTCCAAAATTTGACCCTATAAAAAAGGCTAAAATTGATTTCCAACCATTTTATAATGGTCTTACTAGACAATTTACTTCCAAATGTTAACAAACTTTTACATAACAATGTGTTGAAAGTTTAAACAAAAAAGACAATGCCACCATCCAAGTTACAAATACCATCAAATCTGTAATTGACAGTTATTTGCAAATGACTTGTAGCCTTTTGCGTTCTGAAATATTAAGATGGAACCGAATTATAAACTGAAGTAATTTTTAATTCTGTCAATGAAAGTAGACGTTGCACTTATGATTCACACTTCCTCCCGGTGTTGTCAGATTCACTTGAGGTTCTTGGTGATCCAGCTCATGAAGTGTGTCACCCTGGTGTAGACGCCGGGGTATTGCCCCTTACCACAGCCTATGCCCCAACTAACAATCCCCACTTGGGTCCAGCGCCCCGCCGTGTTCACCATCAGGGGTCCGCCACTGTCACCCTGTAAACACACATATGAGTTACTACCAATAGTAAGGTGCCACGATGCAAAATATCTTGAGCTCCAGAATTTGCTTGAGTTTCCAAAGTTGGATGATGTGAATTATAAGAAGGTGTTGGCTTTTGGATACTAGTGTAGACATTCCATCTATTTGTGTTTGTGAGTCTACGCTAGTGGAATTTTTTTTGTTTTGAAAGGGAACGGTCCAAACCCTGGTCTTGTTACTATCTAACATCGACCTTTTAGTGAATTTCCCTATAGGGAAGTAGCTAAGAAATATTTGCATTTTGCCGCAATTGCAGGAGACGATTACATGGCTACCGTGCCTATTTTTCGGCCCTGTGGATAAGGATGAACCTTAAGATGTGGCAGTTGCCACAAAACATTGAGTTTGACCAAACAAGGATAATGTAAGATAATTATATGTTCTATCAAAACCACCTCCTTGGCAGGATGAACTTTGGTGTAACTTACACTACAGGAGTCCTTGGTCGCTCGTCCTGCGCAGAGGAAATGCTCTACAATGCCTCCTGGTGCTGCGTTGCCGTACTTGAGTTTACACTCCTGGTTGGTCCACACAGGAATGTTAACCTCTTGTAGTACAGCTGGTTGTGGTCCATCTGTTGACATAACACTGGTTGTAGAACAAGAACTGTCTAGGATTAGCATTAGCAGCCTTTTGTTTTTAGGCTAGGATTATACTAGGACGCTAGCGTCCGGGAGGCTGGCGTCCGGGACGCTAGCGGGGCATTAAATCAAATGGGGACGATTATACTAGGGATGCCAGCGTCGGATGCTAAAAAAAAGCCACCGGACGCTCGATTAGTTTCTCTTCGGGTGAAATTGGTCTGAGAAATCTTGTATCTTCTTTAAATATGTAACTTTGGATGTAGCCTAGAAGCTCTTTGAAAGAAGGAAGTGACATTCTAAAGTAATTAAAAAAATCTTGTTTCACTATTGCAAAGATCATCAAACAATGTAAAATACAGGCTTTTAACACGTCGGGCAGCAAAAAACGGGTCTACACTAAATCTTTTTGCACGACGCCTTCTTTTCTTAATTAATAACATAATCAGCAACATCTCTTCATTCGTTGGTGCCATATTGATGACTGACAAAAAGTGACAAAACATTGATAAAATAGTAGTCCGAGAGGCTAGCGTCCCAACACAAATCACGTAATTTATCGGCTCGAAGTGGGACGCTAGCGTCCTAGTATAATCCTAGCCTTACTTTTACACATTGATTAGTAGGCTAAGCTTTTTTTCAGATTTGAATTCAAGGAAAGATAAGTGAATGTTAAGGACTGAATTATATTGATGGTGACTTTGTTTATTTACAGGATCGTCTCGTTTCTTGAGCCAGGTCCATTTTTTAAAAGCCCAATGATCAAGGACAGCGGCTAGGACAGTTTTTAACCATCAAAAAGCTTCTGATTTTTCTCAGGATTGATCCGGCATCCTTCTGATGAGTAGGGGACCACTATATCTACTCAGCTACTCTGCAATTCAGCAATACATCAGGTTGTAATTACAAGAACCAACATCTAGCCTTTATTTTACTGATATAGAATGTTTTGTCTTAGGGTAAACATATTTATTGGGAATTCTAAGCACTGCATCAAAACAAATTAAACCTCAATTAAATTCTATCATAGACCAGCGCACTCGGAGTACAGGACAGGTAAACAATATTACTAGTAATTGCTTAGTTAATACATTTATGTTGCAATAAGTTATTTGTATTATGCAAAATGTGTGTTATTAAAATGAATTAATGAAAGTTGCAAATTAGGTATTTGTTCATCCCAAAGATGATTAGATCCCAATTGTTAGTCTTTTAATATTAATGTATATGTTTTTTATAAAATGAAACTTGACATTTTCTTTCTTAAAACAGTGGTCGAGGAATCCTCCCTAATCGTTTCAAATTTTTAAAGCACATTTAAATTAGTAGTAACGAATGTGTTATATTTTTTATTTTATATACTTATAACATTCTAATTATTTTCTTTGGGTAACATCAGAGAATCAATGTTCAAGTTTTTTATGCCTGCATTTTTTTATTCTGATACAATCAATGCAGAACTAATGTAATACTTTATATTTGTTCAGCTTGAGGTGACAACAATCAATGTGCAGCTTGATCAGACTATGATTCTAAAGTAAGTGTGTGATTGTAAAGTAAATGTCGCTACATAGATTACTTACTTTCTCGCAGACTGCCCCAGCCAATGACAGTTGCTGTAGCTCCATCAAAGCGAGCCTGAGTACCAGTTGTAGGGAGGCAGACACTACGTATTGTCTGGGTGAAAGTTACTGGGGAGTCTAATGTGAGAATAGCTATGTCGTTGTACTGTAAGAATCAAGAAAAATATACATGTAATTGATATTCATACTTGTTATGTAAATTAATAACAGTGATGAAGTATCCAGTTTGAAAGCGTCAACAACATTATCAGTTGAAATTTGCTATCATGTTTCCACTTCCTATGAAATGGTATTTTTAGTGACTGAGTTCACAGCAAGTAAATATAGTACTGGTATAGTGAATTGCTACTGGTGGCAAACTTAAGAAAACATTGATGAACTTTGACAATGGCAGTGAACGTTTCTTTATGAAGATTACAGTAATTCCAGCTTACTGGCACTACTAGTTGAGTGGATAAATTTGTATGAAATAAGAAATTAAAAACAGTGTTGACATTTTAAAGACAGATCTAAAAATATCTTTCAGCTTAGCTGAGTAAGTTATTACTTTGGATACTCAAGCAGTCTTGTTGTTTTAATACAAAACCTGAAGTATATTTTATGTCCGTTTGCGTTTAATTGTGCTGATGTGTACTACATTTTTATTGTGGTTACAGGTTATATAAAGTCAATGCTTTATATTGTCTATTTACAATACCAGAGAATAATTAGTACGATAAATTGATTGCATTTGGCTGAAATATTTTTAAGTTGATACAATAACTACAATTACAGCAAGCATCAAAACTATCAACATGTAATGAGCAGTAAACTTCCGTCTGCTGATCTAAAAGGAGTATTAATCTATAACATATTTTGTTAAGAATGTTTAAACAATGTGTACAAGTACGAATATCCAATATGACTCGTAAACCGAGATTGTGTTCAATCAGTAATTCACAAGTACTTAAGTTTAAACTTGAATCACAGATTTCGTAATCTCACCAATGTCCTCATGTCAAAGTTACGATGCCTCACGACTCTCTTCACTCTCTTCTCTACATGTTTCACCTCAGAGTTGGTTTTGATGTTATGATCACCCAGCCTCACTGTCAGTCTGGCCACATCCCATGAGGTCATGCTGCCAACATTACAAATTATATTTAAATATCCCCGCCGCAGCAAACATGCAGACTAAGCGAATTACCATTTCCCTGATTGAATTTTCACTAGAATATTTCCTTAAACGTTTCACATTTATTTCCTACTTAAATAACATTATAGTTTGCTGACTTGAAGTTAATAAAGTGTCTTTTACAGTAAAATGTCAATAGCTAAGTATAAAATAAATCAATTTTCCAAATTTGATCGAAATGGATTCATAAACTTGCAAAGGACAACAGTTTAGGCTACTTATTTTCCTTGTATTGTATTCAATGTCAATAAAATGTATTGTATTGTGAGAGGGGTGGACTGTGGACTTTTGGTCCAAACACTTCAACCGAAGCTTTATTGTGCATCCCACATGCCACTAACTGGTAAGCCTATGCCTGTGTCCTTGACTAGGTGCAGGAGCTTTTGCCCAATGTTAGCTTCTGGTTCATCATGTGGCTGTTTTAGACCAAACAGAGCCCTTCTCCTAGCCCCAAGTTCATCGCAATCCAGAATAATGTGTTTTACAGTCTCATCGGACTGGTTACAAAGTCGACACTCCTGATTGTCATTGATATTTCCTAGAGCGTGGAGATGTTTCCTGACATGGCCGTGTCCATTGATAAGAGCAAGTACCTGCTTGACCTGCCCTCTCACCAGCTTTGTCAGCCAGCGAGTGAAGAGGGTGATAGGTTCTGAGAGCAATTTCTTGCCAAATGATTGACCAGGATAATTACGCCAACGCTCTAGGTGTTGTCCCCTGGACCATTTGTTGATGCATTACCGGTAGCTTATTTTCTTTAAGAATAAGATGGAAATTTAAAATTTACACTTTTTGCAAAATATCTGTATACTCTACTGTATAGCTATACTCTATAAGCACTATACTCTATAGTTATACTCTAAGCTTTATACTCTATGTACTCACTGGGCCACACAGTGAGCTGCTGTAAGGATGTGTGTGTTGTCTATGAGTGAACCTCCACAAAACTGGCGACCACTGTTGAACAAAGCTGCCTGTAAAATGAAACCACGACTAGCTATCACTATTCAACATACAGTATAAACTATCCTACTGCTACAAATGAATCCTATCTTGATAGTTGACACAAAAATGTGTACTCATTAACATTTTGCAACAACATATTTTAGGAATAGTTTGATAGTTCATAGATTTTCTGAAGCTATTTTTAAAAACCTTCAAATTAAGTCAAGTATTCATTTACTTTTAAAGTTTCTGTATTGTGGTTCATCATCTTGGTTTATTTACTAAAAAACACCCAGGTAGCCAGGGTTATGAGCCTGGTAAAGATCCTACAACTACCTTTCTCGTACACACATGTGCCAGGACATGATTCAGTCCATTTCCAATAAAAGAAAATACAAGGCATACATGCCACAAAACAAGGTATTTGTCTTTAAAGAAACAGTACAGTATTTAAGAAACCGAACACATAAATAAAAAGGGTAAGTGTATTTATAATTATCACCCCTCCAAACTTACCCTAATGTTTTTACTTTCTCCTCGTACATACATTACGGGAACATTTTTTTCCAACACTTTTGAATTTGGGTTCCAGGTATATATGTTTCGGCTCCCCATGAACCCAAAAAGTGGATTTTGAAGAGATGTGTGTGTATCTGTACAGAGCTAAAGACTTAGCTATGGTCCAATGTTGATGAAATTTGGTATGCGGGTACTAATCTATGATATCTCCACAGTTTTTATTATTTTTTTTAATTTTTATTTTAATGGGGATTTTTACAGAAACTTATAAAATGTTTGGATTAAAATTACAAATATTTTACCTTTTTAACTCTAAACAAAATGAGACCAACCCCTATACTGTTTTAAAAATTACTGTTCAAAGGTTCGCAGTTTTTGAGATTGTACCTATAAAATATCTTTAACTCCCGCTGCTTACCCCATTGAAAGGGTCATCACTCTGATACTGTTTATTTATTTTCACTATGACATGCTAACCTTATGGAACTGAAATTAAACACACTCACAATCCAAGGCCATTCATTAGGGTCAGCGTTTTGGCCTCCTACAATCCTCTCTTGATCTTGGAACCCATTTTTAGCTCCACAAGAAGCATCTCCAACAGCAGCAGGTGGCTGGGTGGGCTTTGCAGGCACCTCAGGAGCCACAGTGGGCGGCTTAGTAGCAGCAGTGGGCGGCTTAGTAGCAGCAGTGGGCGGCCATGGCTGTGCAGTCGGAGGATGGGTTGGAATGGGCGGAGGCCAATTAGGTGGTGGAGTCGGAGGCTTTGTAGGTTTAGGCGGCTTAGGAGGCTTAGGCTTAGGTTTCTTAGTGGTAGTCACGGGTTTCTTGGTTGACGTTGGCTCGATAGGGTAGCCAGGACTTGGAGGATGGGTAGGTAGAGGCGGGATGGTATGGTCGGGTGGATGGGTCGGGATGGGTGGAGGCCAGTTGGGTGGGATGGACCCTCCACCGTCCTCACCCGTCGCCTCTTCTATCTCAGGAGGAGCTGCGGCAGGAGGCTTCTGTCCCACTGGGTTTGTGCAGCAGACACCGAATTTCTGGAATGATTTTGGGTTTTAAAGACTTCTCTGTTGAGCAGATGCAAATATGAATCATTTAGGTTTGTTTGGCTGAGGACAAATAGTATATGACATTGTCATTTGGTTCCGTAAAATAAAGTCTTCCTGTTACACCGCACAGTAAATTTGGAATTGTTACAGCCTCTTTTGAAGTATTATTTCTTATTTGTTTGATTATAAAATTACAACAAGGATTGGACAAATTGTACTAGGATGTCTTTTACACTCAGATTTCAACACTGGCAGGTTTACAAAGAAAGGCATTATTTTGTACACTACTATTTATTTTGCTTTGCATGTTCTCAGTTCTTTAATTCCATGTATAAGTTTACCTAATTTATCTCTCATGTTTTATAAAAAATCATTATATATATCAATTATCAACCACTGAGATGAGGGCGTCACCTATGTGCGTACCTATTTTATCCCAAGTTTGAGTGAAGGATGTCAGAAAATGGAGTTAGATGAACTGTGTAGCTTTATTACAGACTTAAATCAATTGTTTCACTAGTGTAGTTGATTGGCGTTGGATAATCTTTTAAGCCTCAATCAGAAACAGCTGGGTCCAGTTGTTGAGATGGCAGTTGTTAGATTATCCAGTAGCATAATCCTTTCAACTGGACCCTGGAACTGCAAAATATTCGTCCGGTCCCCTTTTTCGGCTCATTAGGAACACAACCTAACAATTTGTTTGGTTCTATAAATTATGTACTTAGTTTGATAATACAATCCATTCTAAAATCAATAAAAAGTTAAACCTAAATGCAACAATCTGTTTACAACCATATTAGTCACCTTAAACACCTAGAACCCCTTCTCCTCCATCGTCCATGATGGTCCCTGGATTTACCTGCTTGGCTATACAACCTCCACAACAACTTCAGAGCAAAATACTGTAAAATACTGCTAATCTTTGCATGCACTTTCAATAATCTGGTACCGGTTTGAAGGTAAACGAAATTTGTTTAATGCTGTTTAAACGCCACTTAGCGCGTTTGGCGCTTCTGAGCCATTGGCAGAAGTCAGTTACATTCGATTAAAATTCAAAGTGCTTTATTATTTTGGTAATTTCTAGCATTTTATATTTACAAGCAATATATACGACTAAAATAAAACAAAATCAATAAAATAAGGAAAATGGCTCACCAGGCTAAGATTTATTTGGGTGTTTCCCCTATAGTCCAGGAGCTGAGGGGGTTTGAGCATGCATGAAAGTAGTACGCAATGTTATTGCTGATTATTGTAATACGGACTGCGGTGATCAAAATTACGTATGTCGCCTATTTCAAAAGTGGTCGATAAGGTGGGGGGGAGGGGGCAAACATGGCGGTTTGCGCTATGCATTAAAACGCTGATATTTCGAAAACGGTAAAAGATAGAACATCGGCTAAAACGTCGTTGTAATTCTAAAAATGCGGACTACAATAATGGTTTTTGAGTTCGAGGTCATATCTCTATAAATAAACAAGTTATTGTATAAAATGTGTAAAAATGGACTTTTCATGTAGTTTTTTACCGAAAGTATAATTAATTTGTGAGTGTCGCAAAGAAGTAATATCAAATATCTTTGCTGATAGTTGTAATATGGACTGTGGTGATAAAAAATACGCATGTCGCCTACTTTTCAGGTGGTCGAGAACTTGGGGGGAGGGGGGCAAAGATGGCGGAACGCGCTATGTATTGAAACGACTGTAGCTCGATAACGGTACGAGATGGGACATCGGTTAAAACGTAGTTTTAATCCAAAAAATATGGCCAATAGAAAAGTTTATTGGCTAAAAGGTTGTATCTTAACTAATAAAAAAGTTAACGCAAAGCGCAAACCGCCATGTTTCCCCCTCCCCCCCCAACTTATCGACCACTTTTGAAATAGGGGACATACGAAATTCTGATCACATAACATCCCCATATTACAATAATCAGCAATAACATTGCGTACTACTTTCATGCATGCTCAAACCCCCTCAGCTCCTGGACTACTAGTCTCAAAATAACAGGGGTTTTTAATTTAAGTTCATTAATTAGCCATTTTCAGTAATCAAGCACCACCAAAGTCCCAAATAAATAACAAGGAAAAAGTAAACGAAGGACTTGTAAGTTGTATGTCCACAGTATACTAGCAAACTAAAAATACAGTACAAAAGGAAAAACATCAGTTGTTACTATTGAGCAAAGATTATACCAAAGATTACTCGATACATTGTAGTCAAGGGTAGAAGTGTGGGGTGTGGGATCTGTTTATGAAGATTAGATTACGGTATCTGCAATCCTTAAATGCTTTGGGATGGGTAGGAAACAGGTCCGCAACGTAGGAAGTTATGAAGGAAGTAGTAAAGGCGAGCAGTCCGGAGTGTGAGAACTGTTTATGACTATTAGATTAAGGTATTTGCAATCCTAAAATGCTATGGGAAGGGAGAAAAACAGGTCCGCGACGTAGGAAGTGGTGAAGGAAGTAGTCAAGGCGAGCAGTCCGGAGTGTGGGAACTGTTTATGACGATTAGATTAAGGTATCTACAATCCTAAAATGCTTTGGGAAGGGAGGGAAACAGTTCCGCGACGTAGGAATTAAGTGATGAAGGAAGTAGTAAATGCGAGCAGTCCGGAGTGTGGGAACCGTTTACGACGATTAGATTAAGGTATCTACAATCCTAAAATGCTATGGGAAGGGAGGGAAACAGATCCACGACGTAGGAAGTGCCGAAGGAAGTAGTAAAGGCGTGCAGTCTGGAGTGTGGGAACTGTTTATGACGATTAGATTGAACTGGAAACAGTTTGTAGCAGTTAGAATAATATGGATCTGCAATACTGAAATACTATGAGAAGGGATGGAAACATGTCCACGACACAGGAAATTGTAAAAGAATTAGTAAAGGCTAGCAGTGCGGAGTGTGGGGAATGGATTCATGTATCTGCAATACTAAGACTGCTTTCAGAGTAAACTAATGATTTTCCCCGAGCAAAGCTCGGTCCCCAGGTACTTTTTTGTAAAACTCACACAAGATAAAATGTTTTGTAGGAGTATATCATTAAAGCTACCGCATCACATAACCTGACAGTTACCTGTCTTCCGGTGTTTGTGAGGTAGGTGCAAGTATCATAGTACCCGAGCACCCATGTCTCCCAGGTGCCTAGCTGAGGCAGTTTGAAGTACGGATAGCAGCTGCGGAAGGATGTGCAGCGACCAAACTCTCCTCTGTCTGAGAGACAAGGTCCTAGAGGCACCAGACCTCCTGGCCAGCTGATCTGGCGATCACTCCTGCTCTCACCTACACAGACACACACATTTACACAGATGTTTACAAAGAAAGAAGGTAAAGGAACATTCATGTACCACTCCTCCGCCTCTAGGATACCCCTACACTGTGCAAGATTGGCCATCTACCAAGGTTCAGGAAAGTTTTTGGGTGTACAATATAGGGAGCACTTATTGGCCACATGCCAGCAGAGATAGGTCGACTGATCATGTATTAAGTCTAAGCAGAAAATCGTTATGATTATTATTACTTTTGAATTAGCACACTGGCTTTTTTGACATATACAAGCATACAAGATGTAAAATGAGGTGAGATGATATTTGTTGCTTTGTTACTGGCTAAGATAAGCTGAGGCTAAGATCAATAGCCATCAGGAACTATTAAAAGGCCAATTATGAAGGACAGATTCAGTTGTGGGCCATTAAAAGGCTGATGAATTTTCTCAGGATGGAATTGATGACCTATTTTATCGCTGAGCACTGACTATGAAATAAAATGAAACCAGTGTTTTATTGACATAAAAAAAAAACAATGCATAGTTAACAAAAATATATGTTTATATGAATAACACTTCAATATACAAATCATCTAAATACACCCTTAAAACGCATTCTTGTGGTGTTTTTAAACAATTATATTAACTTGTATAGCACGCAATACCGGTAGCCTAAAGGACTGTGAACTGTCTGATAGGACTGGCACTATTGGCAGCTTTCATGTTCTTTATAATATTACAATATATTCCCGCCCTACCTTATTCTTCCTATTTCCTGTAAAGTTGGTTGGCAAACAGTAAGTTATCAGTATCATTATCATTGCTTTTGGGACAGGAACGCCACATCTTGCATCCTAAGCTGAATATGAATGCATCAAGATGTAAGCCTATGGGATTATGGTTGTAGCTTTATTACTGACGAAGACCAATAGCCAGGACAATCTATTACAAGTCCAATGATCAAGGACAGTTCTGTGCATATATAGTTTCAATCTATCACGCTACTGATTATCACAATGATCAAATATGAGGGTAGAATAGAGTGAGATGATCGGGCACTATATAATTACTGGGTCCACCACTCAGCTTTTACTCTCTGACAAAGAGAGTTTAGTTAGGTAACGAAGAAGGCCGGGAGGCCTTGTTTGGTCGCAAATTTTCATGTCTGATTTTTTGTTATTGTTTAATTGTACTAAAAATTAGAGATACAAATATATAAGAAAAAATGTTTTATTTTGAATATTAAGCGAGATATGGAGCTTGAAAGTAGTAAATTTTTAATCTTTGGTACCAGTTCAAAGGGAGAATGGGTAATGCGATTCTCACCAAAATTTGCATTCAGGTGTGGAAAAATAAGATAATAATCACTAGCTATTTAAAATTAAAAAATTAAAAAAAAAATTTATTTTTTATTTTTTAAAATTTTTTTAAAAAATTAAAAAAAAATAAAAATTTTCAAAATAGCTCTTTGTTTTTGGGAAAAATGGATCTGTATGTTGGAATTAAAAAAAATGTGATATGTTAACTCGTTTGGGCTGTGAATTCGTACCTTTGATGCCTTGCGCTGTCGGAGCACTACTCGTTGAGAGTTTGTACACTAACACCGGGGCTTTAGAATACTTTAACATCACGTAATTATTAACATCCTTTAACATTGAAAGAATACGTTTATCGTTGTATTCTAAAGCCCCGGTGTTAGTGTACACACTCTCAACGAGTAGTGCTCCGACAGCGCAAGGCATCAAAGGTACGAATTCACAGCCCAAACGAGTTAACATATCACATTTTTTTAAATTCCAACATACAGATACATTTTTCCCAAAAACAAAGAGCTATTTTTAAATTTGTTTAAAAAAAATTTTTAATTTTTTAAAAAATTTAGGCTATAAAAAATAAAAAATAATTTTTTTTTAAATTTTTTAATTTTAAATAGCTAGTGATTATTATCTTATTTTTCCACACCTGAATGCAAATTTTGGTGAGAATCGCATTACCCATTCTCCCTGTGAACTGGTACCAAAGATTAAAAATTTACTACTTTCAAGCTCCATATCTCGCTTAATATTCAAAATAAATAATTTTTTCTTATATATTTGTATCTCTAATTTTTAGTACAATTGAACAATAACAAAAAATAAGACATCAAATTTTTGACCAAACACCCTTAAGCCCCGTTCACACGGGGCGAGTTTACAAGCTACACGCCGGCTTTTTTACACGCAGCTAGTAAAATAGCTCAGTGTGAACGACGTACTCGCTCAAAAGCTGCTTGTAAAAAAGCTCTGGAAAAAGTTGACGCTGCCGCTACTTTACACGTCAACTCGCCAGCTTTTGAGCGAGTAGGCGTGTAAAGTAGCCCAGTGTGAACACAGTTGCTTGTGCTTGTGCGCTTGTTACTCAAAGATGTTGGAGGATTTGGTTCAAGCCAGCTACTGAGCGAGTGGAAAAAGCATCGTGTGAACGACTACAAGCGCACTCGCCGACTCGCCGGCGTCTTTCCACACGTCTGCGAGTTGGCGAGTGGACAAGCTCCGTGTGAACGAATACAAGCACACTCGCCAACTCGCCGGCTTCTTACACGCTGGCGAGTAGCTTGTAAACTCGCACCGTGTGAACGAGGCTTAACCAACCACACTTTTAACCTTAGAATACCTTTCTGTTAAGGCGCGTTCACACATGGCGACTAACTAGCCGCTACTTAGTCGCCGCTACTTTAGTCACCGCTATTTACTCGCCGGCAAATTTTCGATCTCTGTTCACACATCGCGATTTGTAGTAATTAGTACAGTTCGATGATTCGTTGTGAGTAGGGTCTGCTGTGGAAAATATCTGTAGGAAGGCGAGAGACTTTGAGACGTGTATTGAGTATCTGTGTCAAGGAACTTTGTGATGAATTAGTGAATAAATTAAGAAATAAAAGAAAACGTAAGTGGGTCCGGGAGTGGATAGGGACATCTTCAGTCACTATTATTCCATTAAGTCTGAGTTCATCAAGCAATTTGGCAAACGCCTGTTGCTTCGAGTCGCGTTTTAGATATTCAGGTGACCTAATGTCCCACAAACACTCATGCTTTCTGTAAATTTCCAGGAAAGTAACAATTTGGTCACTACTCCACTTCACACTATCGGCCATCTTTAGTATAGAATCCGTATAAACTGACAAAACGTTATTAAAAGGAGCAAAACACAACCACGAGTCACGAGTCGTCAGATCGCAAGCTACCGGCTTCTAGTCGGCGATAACACTATTCACACAGGGCGACAGGGTTGCTACCACTCGCGGCGAGTGTACCACGTGACACTTCAAGGTCAGCTACTGGCGACTACTCGCCCCAAAAGTTAAACATGTCCAACTTTCCTCGCGAGTGATTTTTTACTCGCCGGCGAGTGCTAGTCGCTATAGTTCACACATAGCGATTAGTAGCCGCTACTCTAGTCGCAGCGAGTAAAGTCGCCATGTGTGAACGTGCCTTTACACAAGATTTGATATGATAAGGCAAGGACAAGTTGACTGATCATGAAACCTAAAAAGTAAATTTTGAGGCGGCCGCTACTGTCTTCCCTTGATTTCAATCGGCGACCTTTTGATCGTTGAGCACAAATAACTACTGTGCCATCAACTAGCTTTGATAGAGGACATTTAACATTAAAAGAATGCAGGAACATCCCTTACTCACCCTCCCCTAGAACACCCTTCTGTTAAGCATGATAGGCTTCCAGCCATGATAAGGTGACAGATCATAAAACTTCGCTAAAGAAAAATTTTCAGTACCTACCAAGAAGGTTATGTTATACACATTAGTTACCACCGCACGACCCCTAAGTTACCCTTCTGTGCTCTGTTACGCAAGATAGGCTCAGCTGTGATGGCAGCAGGGATGGACGATGGACGACCTTGAGTGACCACGCCCTGTTAGAGTCAAGGTCGCAGCATCTGGTAGCAAGATAAGGTAACTGACCGCGAGCTTGCAGACTAAACGATAACTCTACTGGGAACTCGCTGGTCAGGTTACAGGACGCTGATTCAATTGAAGTTTGTAGGAAATGTGGAAATTCCGAAATAAATTAGGTTCGAAGACCATAGTTGGTAATTCGGTCAATTTTTTATTTCTAAACCAAATTGGAGCGCAGTTAGACGTATTTCAACACAAAAATAAATTAAATATGAGTTTGGGATGGGTGAGGTAGGTTGCGTAGCTTTTTTCTGAGACCAGACGTTTCCTTGTTAGTCAGGGATCAATATTGGATATATACGATTTCTTGCATGTAAGTTGTTTGTATCAGCCTATGCATTTCACCACCTTTTGTGGCATTTTCATGGGCCTTCTTGTTATTCAATCTTCTTCTCAAACACCGTTAGTGATCGGACCGGAAATTTTCTCCCAACATTACACCCACTCTACCACTCTACCCAATCCAATACCATAGATAAAACATACTCCCTTGTTGGTTAGTGTATGGCAATACTCAAAAGACCAAGATCGGCTTTGTCCAGTTTAACTACTCTCAGTATAAAATTACACAAGTGTCTCATCAATGATAGAAAGTGGGCTAGTGTGGGCTACAGTATTTAGTTTCTGTGCTTTAAAGTGGACCGACTAATTGCTTGCCGTTGAAACCCTTCAATACTTGTCTATCGATCTATTTATGGTTCCATCAGTGGTTAGATGTTACTGAAACATCTGCAAGGAATCAGAAAATAGATTCACATGAAAGCGAAAGATATTGGTGAAAGTACTGAGTGCTTATCAGGCTTCGATGGTTGGCCCCCAAAGTCTCAATCTAGGATTGGGAACAGCTTGAAATAGCGTCGCATAACCTTTTCAATATTACGTTATTGCAAATTGTAACTCTGACATTTAACATCACTAATGTTTTTTAGAAAATCTCTATTCTTAAACTACAAGAGATCTGGTAAAGAGGGCTTTTAAACAGTTGTTGCTAATATCGAGAACATTCTTGGCCAGGTACCCAAATATTTATGTTTTCATTTCATTTTAAATTATTGGTTGACAGC